GGTGACAGTGGTGGCAACGACGACGATGATGGTTATGGTGGTGGTGGCGACGATGTCGTCGATGGGAGCGATGTACCATATCCCAACAAGAACTTAATGCACATATGGACAAATAAAAAAGTTACGCTTGACGCTTAGTGAGTTCAAACAGTTTTCTTCATAAAAATGCAAACAAAAAAATTGAAAGATGTTATTTAAACCACAATTTTCAAAATGAAATATATTTCATACAAAAGCAACATCCTTTCCAAACGCACTATTTTCGTTACGAAAACTCATTTATCAAAATGTCCTCTTATTCATTAAATCAGAGCCCAATACCCACCAAAAAGTGAATGAGGTTAAATGCCAAAAAACATAAACAAGATTTAATACCTAAACCATAAATAAGGGGAAAATACTCCATACCCAACACATCACTGAAAAACATGGATAAAACTCAAAACCCAAACACAACACCTTTCAGTGACGGGAGAGATCCGATTTCCATGGTTAGTGGCGGACTATAAAAGTAGGTCACCATTTCATGTTATAGAGCCCATCCGAGGATCAATGTCCCCAATGGGATCAATTGTTCATGATTCATATGTCAAGGCCCTTCCTATGATCTCATGTACACTCATTCACTAAAAAATACATCATGTGACCAATGACTAATATTCGGCTCCCATAAGACTGTACCAAACTGCCCCCGATGACCCGATGCTTATTTCCAGCTATAATACGAGGATAATTATCCCATAAAACTGACTAAAAAATTTACATAATGTGGCCAATAGCTAGAGTTCAACCAACATGTGATTTATAGTTCAAAGCCTCCAATAACACAATGTCTATTTATGGTCACAACGCGGAAACGATCGTCCCATTTTAAATCAAAGAGGCCGACTTTTATGTCTATGGATTTATTGCATTCTAGCCATAAAATTACACGACTCCAACTGAATGACCAACACACTTAAAACATGTAATTTTCGTAATGAATATTCCCTAAAGGCATATACCTTCAAAAAACTTCACATAAACTAATTTAAAACTGGACAAGTGTCCCCAGGGCTCATTAAGGTCAAAACTGAGTCAAAGCTCAACAACCCAGTTGACTATTCATAAAAGACATCAAAAGCAATAAAACATATCTAATCAACGTTTATGCAAATACATGTTCCAAATACATGATTAATTCAAAAACACATCATTGATACGGAATAAATCATGTTCCAAGTAAAATCGTATCACTTGTATTTCCAAAATATCTCATAATACAAAATATGCATTTTCCAACCGAATACACTAAAATGCATTTATTACCAAATAATATTTATTTAAGGTATAAATCGTTAAAAGAACCTACATGTATGATTTATTTATAAAAACATCCAAAAATCCCAAATGTAAACATTTTACATGATTTATAAAACCAAATATATCAAATATGCCAAACTCATGAAATGACCCACACATTTGATAAATATCAAGTAAAACATGTTAACACTTCAAAATGAACATTTTTTGCATGTACATAGTTTTCACAATTTGAACTCACCAAGCTAGATTTGAAGAAATTGAGATCTACAAGTAGATCTTCCAAATCATAAGTAGACTTGAGAGACGACCAGGTCGCGGGAGGTTATTTTTCGCTCTTTTTGTCATTTTTTGCGTTTTTCGAGCCCGATTCAAATCCCAAACTTTCCAACATGTTTTCAGTATGAAAATCCTCATATATTATCAACTTAATTACCCTTAGATGAAAACTTAACATAATAAGAATTCCAAAATTACGGGTGTTACATCATGGCAACGACTTGTTCACACCTTGATATGCTTGATTTAATTTGTTAAATTCTTGGTACGTTAACAACCAAAAATTATTCTTTCAAATGCTTCCGCAATAAATAACATCATCATAATTAGAAAAAGTAGTCAAAGACCTTCCAGCCTAGTGGTAAAGACTTGGGCATGGCATAGTCATGAACCCGAGTTCGAGCCCTAGGAGGGAAGTGTTGGCGACATTTAAGTGAGGCCATGTTTAGCCTCCAAATTTGCCGGGGATTAGTCGGGCTTTGGCCCGGACACCCTTACAAAAAAAATAAAAATAGAAAAAGTAGATATTTCATCACGTTCATTGGTATTCATCAACCAACAGACAAACATGGATTGAATCGTCCACCAAAGATATTTGGTACATAAATATTTTGGTGTCGTCCAAGAATCCAAACTTGCACCTTCCTCTTAGGGTGTCCTTTCGATCCTACCCAATCATCATAGTTGTCTCTACGTCGTCTTTTGTTGGTGTGATGAAATCACTAGGGCGATATTAAGGCCCCAAATAAGAGGGTAAGCTGTGTTCAATTTTTGGTGGTGGCGATGCTTCCTTGTTGGCCATGGTTTACATTCAAATATCCCAGCCTTTTTGGCTCTGATACCATAACAAGAAATATGAATAGGATAACTGTGTATTATTCATTTGATGGAAACAACTAATTTATTCACAAGAAAATCTAGATCAAGAAGGAAACTTATGAATCAAAGGAAACGATTAGAAATTAATATTTTCCTAAACTTGCAACATGTGCCCTCAAAGCTCGCTTCTTTCGGCTGTTGTCGTCCTTAAAACATGTGATTTGTGCTCTTGTACATTTCATATCTCCACGTTTCTAACAATGGTAGACGTTTTTTTTATAAAATGTCGCAACTTCTTTTGACCACTATGAAAGCAGTTAATATTCTAAGTGAAGTTTGCACTCGTACCATCTCTTTTAAGTTGTCAGTTCACATTTTTCTAAAACCCCACAAAAGGATACTTTGTCTTATCCATTCTTTTGACAACTTTGTTGTCCAATCCAAGTGTATTCGATGTTACTTACATTTATATTATTTGTCAAGAAAAAAACTAGGATAAATATATACTTGCACTGATCTGTGTGATTTAAATGGTAACTTTAGGCATCAACCGTCATTGGTTATTGCACTCGAGGGATAAGGAAACATTATTGATGATGATAGACACAATGATGAGATAATTTGTCTTATATATGTATTGACTAAAATACATTTTTATACAATGATGTGCATGAAACATGATACAGATATATTGGAAAGAGGTTACCAACAATGGAACAAAGGGCTTGTTACAGGTGAGAAAAATAAGTCAAATACAAAAAATTCATGACTTGCTTGGTTCGAGGTATTAGGGGTCGAGAATGAGATGAAAATTGTTAATGATGTTTGGTATATGTACAAAATTAAAATAGAACCGATAATTATGTGCAGTTTATAATAATATAAATAATAAATACCATATTTGGGCCAATCAACAACATCCTCCCTAATCTGGGGGAAATGAACATTACAAAAAAGTTTCATATTGAGCAGGGATGGACCTTCTAAGGACTAAAGAGGTCCCGTGCCCCTGCTCACTTGATTATCACAAACAAAAAAGAATTCAGGCGTCATGAAGGTGCACCATTTTGATTTGAATCTACCTGAAGTCCTTAAAAGGTCTGCCCCTGCTCACTTGATTATCGCAAGCAAAAAAAATTAGGCGTCATTCAAGGTGCACCATTTTGATTTGAATATGCCTGAAGCTATCTTTATAACAGGGATCGAGTTTGATTCTAACTTGTAGCAGATATTTAATTTTTTTGGTTTGCAATTGGAAAGTCAATAACTCCTATCTATTTCAATCCTATATCAAGTTCTTGATCTTGAACTTTTCCGTAAAGTATGAGTTTTTCCTATTGGTTTCTTCGTATTTTGTAATTTGATTTTAATTATTTATTTGGTTATTATTACTTGAAATCATAGATGCATAATGAATCGAAATAAGATGCATGGTTAATTTTGATTTGCAAAACGTTTTATTTAATACTGGGAGTTCTAGATGCATAAAGACACAAAATTGAAAACCTGGGAAAAAAGCAGGACAATTAATATAAAATGTAAGAAGTAATATCGTGTTTTGCTTAAAAAGTCAAGGTTAGTTCAATTTGAGAAAAATGTATTACTCCTGAAATCAACATAATTGACCTTTCCTCGGGTGAAACTGTGTTGACTTTTTCCTTTGATCAAACTCGTGACTTTGCAGACCTTTAATCCACCTTAAAGGTGTAGCTGCTCAAGAAATTTTTGATGTTCGGATAGCGGTATCTACAACTCCTTTACGGGTTTAGTAACAAGAAATAATATATTATGTTAAAGAGAGTTCTTTGCATAAATTGCTTTGAATGAGTAAATCAATCATTTTCCCTTTGGGATCCGACATTATCCTCTCATACCTACTAATTGATGTACCGCAGATGCATTTCCTCTGGCTCCCGAAAAAGACACTATATGGTCTTGGGTCCGCCACTGATATTGAGCATATGTCCTTCCGCCTCATTATTATCTCTCCCAACCTCTCTCCCCGCTCCTAAAATCTCCCATCCCAACCTCTCATTGCCTTCCCTCAGCCTCTCACAACACCATCGTCCCTCCGAACCTCTCATTGTCTCTGTTTTTCTTTAGGAAACTGCCATTTTCATACACTCTCCGTTTTTTTATTCATCTTCTGCTTTCACCCTGTTTAATACTTTGACATCCAACATGGCAGCATCTTCTGCTCAACCATCCAAAATTGTCATAAGACTGAGTTGTGGGATTGCACATTCTTCCATTCTTGCACAACCTTTTGTTCGGTTTAAACTCGTATTGATTTTACAGTTGTTCTATTTTGCACAAAGTCTTATAGTTCTTATCTCATCGTGTTCAGCTTCGCACCACCACCACAACCGTAGCCGACAATCTAATGAAAATATCCATTCCTATTTCTCAACATATTTAGTTCAATTCCTATTCCCTAAAATGAAATAAACATCCTTCATTTATTTTGAAACTTTGAACGATAATTGAAAATTTATACATTGTCAAGGGACTGTTTTTGTAAATTTATTCGTGTATTTATTCACTCCCTCGTTCGGATACCAACTCGATTACTCAAAGGCAAAGAGATCTCTCTCTCTCTCTCTCTCTCTAGCTTGCTCCCTCTCTCTCTTTCTCACACACACAAACACACACTTCCCCGTTGATATCGCCTCTCTATATATCTCCACTTTGCAAGAGCTTCGTAACATCCGACACATGTCCATTCATAGGAAAAGGTAAAATTAGGGTTAGGGTTTTGAAGGGATTTCGCCATGGAGGTCGAAGAAGAAAATACCATAAATCACCTACATGAATCAACGACAACAACCGTATCAAATGAACGATTGTTAGAAAATAATTGTAGTAATGATAACGAATTAGGAAAAGAGGTATCAGAATCAAACACTGAAGAAGAAAAAGGAAAGGAATCGTCTGTTATAGTCCCTAAATTGGACGATCCGAATCCTTTTGTCGCGGTAGCAGTGGGTGAAACAGCGGAGGACAAGGAGGTCACTGTTCAGTGCGGGAATTCTGAGTCCGGTAGATGCTGGAACTCGGCGGTGGTTGAGTCGACGACCGCGTTGAAAGACGAGAAGGACGGCGAGGAGGGTGATGTTAAGGACGAAATTACTACCGGTGATGTGGCAGCTGTGGAGCATGGCGAGAGTGAGTTAACAAGTTCGGATAAAGTTGACGATGGAGAGTGTCAGGCGGTTGTGATTGTGCGAGATAATGGTTTAAATGTAGTAGTGGAAAATGTAAAGAACAGCGTCGAGGATACCAATACCGATGGTTCGTTGGTGATCGAGGATGTTAAGGACGGAGGTGAAGGTGAGTTGGAGACCGTGATGGTGGAGGAAGATGTCGAGGTGTTGAAAGACGGTGGAGGAGTTGATGTTCCATCGTTGCCAGTTACTGGAATTGCTGAAAGAGAGGAAGTGATGACGGATGTTAAGAATGATGTGGTTGTTGACACCCAGAAGGAAAATGTCGAAATTGTGATAGGAGAAGAAGAAATAACAGAGGATCAGGATGATTTTCAAGAAGGAATGGATGCAAAAGTTTTAAAGGAAAAAGGAATTGTTGCAGATGAAGAGGATGCTCTTGGTGTGGGAGAAGGTATTGAGGAGGAAGGAAAAATGGCAGACGAGGAGAAAGCTGTTAGTGTTACAGAAAATGATGAGGAAGAACCAATGGTGGCAGACGAGGAGAAATCATTGGATACAGAATTGGAGACCGATGAAGAAGCAACTATGGCTGATGAAGAGAAAGTCCCAGATGCGGAGGTGATGGAAACAGAATTGCTGGAGTCGTCTCCAAAAAGCACTGCAGGTAAACGGAAAAGGGGAGGGAGGAACTCAAAGACTACCTCCAAACCCAAGGCTGGGCGCAGGAAGATGACTGAGGAGGATGTTTGCTTCATTTGCTTTGATGGTGGAGATCTTGTGCTATGTGATCGGCGGTGGGTGTTCTGATTGATCAATTTTGGTTTATAGGGTTTTGATTTAGTTGGAATTGTGCTACTAATTGTGTATACTGTGTTTTTCGTTTACAGGAATTGCCCTAAAGCTTATCATCCTTCATGTGTTAACCGAGATGAGGCTTTCTTCCAAACCAAGGGTCAGTGGAATTGCGGTGAGTATGTTCTCCATCCTCTCATACATGTAGGATATCTGCTCTTTTTTGCAAATCTTTGGTTGTTGCTTATCCTCACATATTTGTGTCGTTTTGATCATTGTTTTTTTGTAAGTTTTCGTGTTGCATGGCTTTACAGTATATACAATATATATTGACGTACTTTGTTGGATGCATCTTCGTTAGTTACTAAAAAGGGATATCAGGGTGACTTCATATTGATAAAAATGAAATATTTTAAAGGTTGACTTTTTCCGAGTGTCCACGTCATCGGTAGCATGAAGTTCTGTTTACTGTAATTGGTTATTCAGTAGATTTGTGCAAGAGGTGAAGTAAGCAATAGTCATGAGTTGGAAAAGGAGGAAGTTTGCTTGAATGGACAGAGCACTCTGTCCAGAAGTTAGATCAGAAAGAATAACGTTTAAATTTCTTCTGTAGTTGAATGCACTAGCTGTTATGGGTTAGTCAGATTGGAAAAAATCGTTCTTTTGGACGACACATACTGGCTGGTTCAATCTGGAAGAAACTTTTGAGATGGATTGTAACTTCTTTTGTACAAGTCGATACTAAAAGGAATGAGAACATCTTTTCAATACGGATTTTCAAGAATGGTATATTACTAAGCTAGGTAACTAAGTAACTTGTAGCTCCATAGGCCTTTGCAAATTACATATCTATTAAATTTGTAAGCGTGGTTAGTAGGATATTGCTATTAGTGTTGTTGCTTGCTTCAAATTCACTAGTTGATGGCTCATTATTCTTGTAGCTTTCAATAACTCTTCCCATGCCACAGATAAAGACTACTTGAGTAGCATCCCTTTGTCTTGGCAACAAAAAGCTTCGAGTTCCATTATTCTTCATCATTTTTCTTTATTCTATATCGTCAATTTGGTATTTGATATTTGCCACTTTTATCTTTCATCACTTCAAGTAAATGGGCTCACAATTTTATTTCTTCTCACACCCTTATAGTGCCATAGTAGAAATACTAATGGAAATGATGAATGAACAAAATGGGTGTTTTTGACCTGTAGGTTTATTGGGAAACAATTGTAAGCAAATTTATTACTGGCTTTTCTTGGTGAAGTACTTCTTCAGTAGTTTGTGTGTATTATGAGGGGAAGGCTTATAAGATTTTTCGTGCCTTCCTATTATTCTTCGAATAAATCTGTCAATACAACCTTGTTTTTGTTGCTGGAATGACCCTCTTCTCTACCTGCAATGCTTTTCATTTTCTTTTCAACCACTAGGATAACAAGCCTTATCTGAACTAGTTGGGTAGGCTAAAAATGAAAACATACAGAAGTCATGAGAAATTCCTCTATGGCTCTTCGCCTATCATCTTTCCACAACTATAATCTATGACCAACTCCTTTGGTATGTCATCTCACTCTAATTTCCATCCACTCCTTTATCATTCAGTTTTGACCAAACTTTTTTGTTCAGCAATATTCACTTTTAACTTTTTGTGGTTGCTTTTCCCTTCCAGTAAGATATTTAACAATTTTTTTTAACAAACGCATCCCAGAAACAAAACTGAAGAACTCACTGAAGACAGCCCCAAGTGTCTCCAATTATCTTTACTTTTTATTTCTGCTTTGTAATTATCTCATACATTTTTGGGGGTTGTACAGCAGATTTGTGTTGTGTATATACATAGAAATACATGCTTGCATGCATTCATGCATATACTGTTTAAAATAAAAAACTATCAAATGATGTGGGTGTTGACTTGGGTTACATATAGGGGGAACGAGAGTTTGCATAAACTAATACAACAATTTTGCAAAACATAGATGTTTTTGTTGAAGGAGATTTACCAATATTAGTCTTGAAGAAATAACTTGATTGTATCAAGTAATCTTCATCGATGTGGATTTTGCTTCTTCTAGTTAGGGCAGGGTTGTCTTGAACTAATTTTTTTTTGTCAAGCACTATCTGACCTTAATTAAACCCAACCTTGATTTCTCCCTCAAAGAGCAGAACGACTGTTCCGTGAAGAACCCCCCTGCTTGTGCAAAGTGTGCGGTAAGAAAGGATATAATTTGCTCAAAAAAGTTGTTGAGAAAGACCATCTGGCCTTTACTAAGTTTTAAAAAATTAGATATACAGTCAAAACGATGCTTCGAGTTAAAATGATGATGATTTCAAAAGTTACATTCAAACACAAACACAAGAACAAAACAAACAATTATTTTATATTATAGTTGTTTACATTTAATGCACACGCAGCATTCATTTTTGACATTTCTTTATCACCTTCTCATCCTTTATGGTATCAAGAACCTCTTTTGGTACGTAATGTATTTGCATAATCTAATAACCAGATATACACTTTAGGATTAAACAAATTTGACCCATTTAAATATAATCTCAACTTAATATTTTATACTAATTTAAGCAACGCTATCAATTAAAATAATTTATATATATTTAGAGAACCCCAAAATAAAAAAAACCTTCAATTCTATAAATCATATTGAATCTCAACAAGAAAGCCAATATATACACATACAAATATAATACACATGGATTGAAACTATAGATGCCCCTTGGCATACGTGAAATAAATAAAATCATTAGTTGAACTCATGTCTAAGGCCAACTCCTCTTGTATATCTATTCTCTCATATTTCTCTTTATGACTTCTCCTTGGCACTCTAAATTTCTTAATGCTTTCCTTTTGGTATAAAGCTCCTCTGTTAACCGATATACCCAAAGGTTATGTTGAAGTTGATGAAACCATCTCAAGCTATGTTGCCCTGACATTTCGATTGATGTGACTCCATCCTTCTCATGCATATTATCATCTCCCCCACACTTTGGGCCAAAGGTTCACCTCAACATTCAGATTATGCTAATCTTATCTTGTTTCTTTCAACCGTAAAAAAGTATAGAATCATCACCTTATACAACTTCTATACTGAACTTCTCTTGGGGGAAGCGGGGGATATATATATATATATATATATATGTATCATGTATACATAACACAACAAGTGCTATGCTTTTAGCATTTTACATCATCAATTTGGTTTGGTATAACAATTCTCTCACCAAATATTTACACACCAGACATGATGTGTGCACACAACTCTATGCTGGACAATTGCTTTACCACATTGTGTCCAGTTCAAAAAAGGAGTTCGCTTTATAAAATTTTGTCCCAAAAACAGTCCTTGATTAAGATTTGCTTCATCAAGCTATGCTTCTTTTGACTTAAAAAATGGAGCCCATGTGAAAAACCCTTTATCCGAGAAAATAGTCCTAGATTAAGATTTTGAAATGAGATAAATTTATGTTATTAAGGAGTTCATTTTTACACCACCGGTGTAATCTTTTACCCAATCATGTTTCAAAACTTGACAGATTTTCAATCTACTTATTACTTATGAGCAATGTTTTAATGTACGGAAACGTGAGGCCATAGTTGTGAAAAGCGCCTCCTAGCTTTGAGGCATATAAAGCGCAAAGGGCTGGGCTTTTTCCATGTCGAGGCGTGGCGAGTTACCGAGGCGCAGCAGCGTCTTGGCTGAGCCGCAGAATGGGCTTGACGTGCCTTATGAAGATCTACCCTGATTTCAAATAATTTTCTTGTCTCTTAGACTTCTACAAGAAAAAGTTATTAAATAAGTCAACCTTATGTTAGTTATGTCTTATAACCTCCTAGACTTCTACAAAGAAGAGTTATTAGATAAGTCTATTCAGTTCTCTTATTTTCTATTCATTTCTAATCGGTCATCTCCTATAAATACATCCCATATGTTATACTCTCCCTCACGGCTTTAAACCTTATACGTCTTCCTCACGGCTCTCTTCTGGAATCTGGAGTTCTGGTTGCTGCCTTGGAGGCTTATACTTCTTCCTCAGGGTTCTCTTCTGGACTTCTGGTTGCTACCTGTTGCTACATAGTACATACAAGTATGTATATATTATTTTTTGTATAGTCTGTTTTTGTTATTTACCACATTGGGACTGCACAATGGCACACAGCCGATACACTCTTATCGCACCAAGCTTCTAAGGCTATCTTTTTTTTCTCTTGTAATTCGACACACACATATGGCTGTGATTAGGGAAGGCTGTTAATCACAGAATCACATCACAGAATCACAGGATGTGATTTGGCTCATTGGCTGCCTTTTTTTTCTCTTGTAACAACACCACACACATATGGCTGTGATTAGGGAATTATGTCAAGTGTTATGAGTTTTGCTTAGAAGCAATATTAGGTCATGGATTTTCAAAATAAATCACAATCAAGCTGTAGCGGAGATCCGGCATGGAAGTATTGCACAAAAGGTACATGTCCGAGCACCGTAAAATGCCATTTTTTTACATTATTACAAACGGAGGAAGATACCGATCAAAACAACATATTGAGATATGTTTGATGTTACTACTTTTGGAAATTGAAATTGAACCGTGTTCTACATAATGGTATTTGAGTTGATATTACTACTTTTTATATAATGGTATTTGAGTTGTGTATGTGCGCGCGCGTGTGTGTATATATATTATTTTTTTATACGATGCACCTCACAATCGTGAGGCTCGAGCCTCGCGCCTAGGCCCAGGATCACTTTGCTCCTAAGTTCGCCTTGCGCCTTTAACAACTTTGCATGAGGCGAGGCGTTTTCCCTCGGCGAAGCTTACGATTTGAAGGGGGAAAATAAAATAAATAAATAAATATATATAATACATATTTAATAATGATATTTGAAGTCATAATATTGTTAATAAGTCTAAAAAATATTTTAATATATGTAATTGATATCGAAGATTTTATTTTTATAAAGTCACACATATCAAAAGAAAGAATTAACATACATATATCAAGAGAGAGAGAATTAAAATCATATACTTATCAAGTGGAAGAGATTAAAAGTCGCACACTGATCTAGAGAAAATAGAACTCACACTTGGAAAAAAGAAAAATCTTGCTATATAAAAACAAAAAGTTTTGGTCCTCCGCTCCCATCCCTAATATAGAGTATTGGAATGCCTGTTGGCTATTCCTTTTCAATCTGCAATGAGAAGTATGAGCTGAGAGACGGAGGAGTGTCAAGTCGTGACTGGAAGAGGCGTACAAGGAGAGGGAGAAGGAGATACATATGAGCAGCGGAAGTACATGTGTACTATTGACCCTAACGCTTTTGCCAGCCTTTAGTGCTGCGAGGTGTACGAGCGAAATACCCTAGCAGAGATGCCACCTCATTAGCGGTTTCTAACCGCCTTACCTTGAGGAATATGCCTCGAACGCTTTTTAAAACCATGCTCATGGGTTAATTTTGTAACAAGTCCATGACATCAATTCATGTGTTGATACTTATGTTTTTAACGCCACTCATGTAAGATCATTTTGTATAATTCTCATTAAATATTTTGAAGATCGTATGAGGGAGTCAGTTTTAAGATGTTATAATGAAGTTGCAATATTGTTCCAAGTTATTTTATCCATGAAGTCATTGCAAATTATACCATGGATTCCTTTTTTCTGGATGGAGAAAATGCTATGATTTTGTATTTCTCCTTGATGAACTTTTTAAATCCACTATTGTTCTAATCTAAGTAATTGCATATCGTTATGTGGGTAAAGGTTCTTTGAAGTTGTTATATTTCTTCTGCAATAAATGGTCTTATGTACTTGAGAGCTAATATTGCAGCAGTTGGCTGGTGTCAATGAACAGGAGATTCATCAGAGAACCTGCCAGAACAAACGGCAAGCTGCTAAAGTTGATGGCTCTTGTCCAGTAGGATAGTGACTCGGTCAATGGTTAAATGAAATGTCCAAGCAAGCACGGCTTTATGTGTGTAGTGAAGTTTTTGAAGGAAAGACTGTTGCTTTATGATATGTCGATGCCATTCAAAAAATTTCTCGAAGTTGGTGAAAATTGTAGCTAAAGTACAATTGAACTAGTAATAGGGACATTTCCACTTCCAATGGCATTACGCCTGTTCTTTTGATGTAACCACATTTAAATGTATAATTTAGTCCTTGTTGTAAAGAAATGCAAGGGCTTGAGCATGTATTATTTTGTTGAGGTACCAATCGCGGGTCTAGGGCACGACATACTTGTTTCAAGCATTTACTGCAGAAGCCATCATAATTAACCAATGTACTCTTTGAAATTTGTTTGCATGGTTTTCCCTTGTAAATATTTTTTTAATCTTCCTTGCTTCTTAACTTCAAACAAACAAAAAATAGATGAATGAAGATGGCCGGGAAAATAAAAAGAGATCATAGATTTTTTTGTCACTTAATGAAGGTAGATTAGACGTACTCTCTTTTTTGTTTTAAAGGGTTAGAGTTCCTGGCTGTTTATTGATACAGTCTGGGTTGCTAGAGTTTGTAGTTTGATTAATTTACAGACCAAGTATCCCGTAGCAAGTAATTTCTCTTGAACTAATTTATCAGTTCCGTTTATGAATCCAAATTTGCTTGTCATGTGCACTTGTTCAAAGCATTAATAACTATGAATCATTTTGAAGTTATCTTTTAATTTCATAGTGCCATATTAATTAGTTGAGTTACCAGATGCCATTCACCTTTACTTTTCCTTGAAAAATTGTGCTAGCAACTTATTTGTCTTATTTACTTGGCTTTCAGGTTGGCACTTGTGTAGTATCTGTGAAAAGAAGGCTGAATATATGTGCTATACATGCACTTTTTCCTTGTGCAAAGCATGCATTAAAACCAATATTATATTCTGCGTAAGAGAGAAAGAGAAGAAAGGCCTTTGTGAGGCTTGCATGAAAACTGTGATGTTAATTGAAAAAAATTCGGAGGAAAATCAGGTATAATATTATTCTTCTGCTTAATGATTTTTGTTCTTTTTATCCATGGATGGTCGATTGTGGCAAATGTGGAATTGAAGTTTGTCAATGATACCACATGCTATTAGTTTTCCTGTTTCCTATTCATGCCCCGTTCACACCTCTGCAAAAGGGAAGCCAATTGAACGAATCAATTTGAGGACAAAGGCTTTATTTTCACATTGCTAATGCTAGTTACATTGTCTTTGTCATTTGATATGCTTATTCTAATAATTGTAGTCTTAATTTATTCACTATTACACCAGCATTAAGAAGAGTTCATGATTGGGATAGTTAGGTTCCTTTTCTGAATAATATATTTATTCGACATTGAATTCCTTACTTTTATGGACCTATGTACGATTAAGATATATAATGTAGAAGTAGTAGTGTTCAAGGTATCCCATATGGTGAACGGTGCTTTCATTAAAGGCCTACGAGTTTATAACAAGTAAAGCCCACCTCCAGGCGGCTTCTTCCGCAAGCACTATCTATATGTGCGTGTGTGTATAAATGTATGCATGTGTGTGGACGTATGTGTATATGGACACACACATATAGATAGTGTATATATGCATATGTGTGTGTGTATTTGCTGTGCTGCTCACATTTTAGAGGTTCTAAATGACCTCTATGCCTCTCAGAATGCAAACCTGCACCACTGCAACTGATTCCTTGCAAGGTTTCATGTCTGCATTTTGAAATGTCCAGATTTGAGTACAGGGTTGAGGATAGTCCACTTGAAGATTTCATGTTTTCGTTTTCAAATTGGCATGTCATGGTCACTTTATAAAATCTAAGATTGTTGCTTTATGCTTTCAGTTAGTTCTTAGGCTTATCCTTTTAGCTACAACTGTCACGGGCTACTTGTATGCATCAATATCTGGTTATCACTTGTTAGCATCTGCTCCTCTTTTGAGCTGATACATGGATTTGTGTCTTTCAATATCGATAACTTGGGACTTGCCTCACATGTAGGGGCGCGGAAACTATATTACACTTGAGGAACAAGAAAGTTCTGAACACTGAAACTGCTTGTTAGTTTCTGTGCATATATTTGAAGTAGATTATTGGTTTATAATATCATTCTGTAACTAAAATGCTTGGTGATTTTATTTCTGCTTCAGTTTCATAAGTTTCTCTTGGTTTATTTCAACTATGTAGGGAAATGTAGACTTTGATGACAAGAGTAGCTGGGAATATCTATTTAAGGATTATTGGACAGACATGAAAGCAAAACTGGATCTGACTTTGTCTGAGCTTGTTGAGGCTAAGAATGCTTGGAAGGGATCTGAACTCTCTGGCAAACAAGAACCTCCAGCTGCACATTCTGATGTCAAAGATGATGGTGGTTCAGGATCAGAAAATCCTTCTGAGAACCTAGAAACAAGGAAGAACAGACGAAGAAAGGCTAAGAAGCGCAAGTCTGCCACCAAGGAAGAGGAACCGAGTACTGGAGCAGCTGCTGTTGCTTCTGAAGGGACATCTGTGACCAGGAACACGGAGTGGGCATCCAAAGAACTACTTGAATTTGTTATGCACATGGGAGATGGCAACATATCTATTAGATCTCAGTTTGATGTACAGGCTCTTTTGCTTGAATACATCAAAACAAACAATCTTCGGGATTCTCGTCGTAAAAGTCAAATTATTTGTGATGCAAGACTTGAAAGACTTTTTGGTAAACCACGTGTAGGGCATTTTGAGATGTTAAAACTTCTTGAATCTCACTTTCTTATTAAAGAAGATCATCAGATAGACGATATCCAGGGGAGTGTGGTCGATACTGAAGTTAGCCATGTAGATGACGATGAAGCTAATGAAACCGTAGCGAAGGGAGGGAAGGATAGAAAACGTAAAATGCGGAAGAAGGGTGATCGAGAACCTCAGTCCAACCGTGAGGATTATGCTGCTATTGATATACACAACATAAGCTTAATTTACCTGCGACGGAAGTTAGTGGAGGATTTACTTGATGATACTGAAACATTTCATAGCAAGGTTATCGGTACTTTTGTTAGAATAAGGATCTCTGGTGCTAATCTTAAGCAGGACATATATAGACTGGTGCAAGTTACAGGTAATTACAACTGTCCTACTTTTGATGTCCCATTATCTTGTTACTCACCAATACCTAATTCCTTCAATCTACAATAATTGAGATTGGACAATTTTCATATGATATAAGTTTCTTGAATTTTTCCATTTCGAATCATATTTCTCTTTTTTTCATTCTAGTTATTGACATGGGAAGGAATAAACAAGATTAGAGATACAGATAAATACCAGGACCCCTTTTCTCTTTCTTCCCTTAATTAATTTGGCAGTCATCACTATCGTGTTATGGGAAATAGTTGGACTAAGGAAATATTTGTGTATGCTTTTAAAAGGACACACATTTAATCATTAAGCTATTTTTATGAGCAGTGACTTTGTGCATGCGGGATTTTGAACTTCAACATTGTATAGTTTATTTTGATTCCATCTTTTTAGCCTAGCCCAACTATTTTGTGATTGTAGGCTTGTTCTAATGACTCTGTATGCAGGTACTACCAAAGCGGCCCAATATGCACTTGGGAAAAAGATGACCAACACCATGCTTGAAATATTGAATCTTAACAAAACAGAATCCATATCCATTGATACTATTTCAAATCAAGACTTCACAGAGGTGATTGAATTTGAAATGCTGCTTTTTGTTCTTTTCTCATCTCCTAGTTTTCTCAGTTTAAAATTGAGATATTACCAATTCTTAGTTGTAGCAAGTGGTACAAACTTCTTATTTTGTAAACTAGAGAAAAAACTAACAGGTCTGCAATCACACCCCTGGATTTATAATTTAGTCTATTTTCCCCATATGTATCCTCAAATAACCAGAACATGCAATACAATGTCTATTAGATGGTTGTCGGCTTGTCATGGATGTGTTATTTCAACTCAATTGTTTGTTGCAACTTCCGTAGTTATATCCAATCTCTATTGGATGAAATACTCCTATTATGTTCATGTTGCGTTATTTTAATTTAAATATTCGAGTTTCTGACATGTCTAGTATTGATATTGTAGGATGAATGCAAGCGTCTACGGCAAAGTATAAAGTGTGGACTTATAACTAGGCTGACAGTGGTATGTTGTCCTTTATCCTCTATATAAACGGATTACTGCTACAGAACATGCTCCCATCATTTAATATATTTTGGTTGCTTGTAGGGAGACATTCTGGATAAAGCGATGGAACTTCAGGCGGCAAGAGTGAATGATGTAAGTTCTGCACATTGGGTTCATCTTTTGTTGAAAATTTACTTTTGGAAAGTTATTCTCCTTTTCATTTCCCCATACCCTACTCCCGATTGGGGTTCACTTGGTACTGTTGGTTTGGTTTCTATTCTCTATTCTATTTCTGCTTATTGGTTTCAACTCTAGGCATGTAGGAACTAGTTTTGCGTTTCAATGAGCCAGGTGAGGCTTTGTTTCCTTACTTTCTTCTGTTTCAATGAGCCAAGCGAGGGTTTGGTTTCTTACTTTCTTCTTTCATATATAAGAATTAGAGACAACAAAGTACTCTGTGGTTGCATTTTTACCAAGTACTTATTGATGAGTCACTTAGGGGTTGCTCAGTTGGTTTTTCATTAAGCCCTATATGGGTTAAGTTGTATGTTGGATTTAGTTGTCTGTATGAATAAGACTAAATTGTCGTTCTGTTGTTGTGCTGAATAGACTATCTGAATAGTATAATGACAAATTTACCCTCGGTGCTTTTTTTCTTTAAGTATCTTAATGATTAAACTTTATTAGATGTTTAGATTTATATATGAGATAGGATTTTAAATAATATAGGCTTGATTATCTATGCAACATAATCCAATTTTGAGTCCTCACCTGCCATGAAATCCATCCCTTCACCCTGCCATGAATCCCTTCACCAAAACCCATCACTTCCACTTTGTCCATCACCTAACCCATCACGGCTTAATAAATCCTAACACAAATACCTGGATTAGGATGACCTTCCCCATGCTGTTATAGTGGTGAAAATACAAAATTGCGGTCAGGACCGATATTTGAAATAGGGGTTCTAGCGGTGGTATATCAGTTCATATAATATCTCTTATGATTATATATATTATATATATATATATATATATATATATATATATATATAATACGTATGCAAACATAAACATATCATACCCATTAATTAAAAAAAATAGTTTCAACATCAAAACATCAACTTAAACAAGTTTCACAAAACAAAATAGGAAAAGTGTTCACAAACGAGCTAATCGCAAGCAATAGGTTCAGCATCCGAGTCAACATCATCTAATACGTTCACTTCTTCGTTAGGCTAGCTTCCCAATCTTCCCCTTCATCTCCAACGTGGTCATCATCATCCCCAAGTCAAAAACTCGAAATAAAAGCCCAAAAAACAATAACAAATAACAACATAGTTCTGAAGAGGCTCGAGCTAAAACATTGGAACATCGGTCCGCAATTTCACCTCAAATATCGGTCAAGTATCGGTCAATTGCGTCGCTAATATCAGAAACACAATTTCCATCGTGATTTTACCTTTGTCCGCAATCCACTATTGTATTGCTATTGCAGCACAATAGTGTCACAATTAACAACATAGGACCTTCCAAAACAAGTTTTACAAATGTGACTGTGGTTCTCGTGAGAGGAAGGGGGAAAGGCAGAGATGTTAGCAGGGGCTTTCTTTGCAGGGACGGTGGATCACGTGAGTAAGAGAGGGAAAGGAAGAGGGGGCAGAGAGAATGACGATGAGGGGTAGAACATCAGTGGAAGACTGGTGGTGGTAGACCGACGACAACAAAGGAGAGCTTCGATGGAGGAAATGGAGGTGCTGGAGGCGTTGCAGAGCGTCAAGGGATGGAGGTGCTGAGAGCTTCAAGGGTTTTATTTTTGTTATAGAGGATAGGAGTCTGTTTTAAATGAAGGGTATATGGGTAAAAAGTTCAGGCTGAATGTAGACAAGAGCCGCTCAAGCTGATCGAATAAGCTATTGATTTCTAGACTAAGCCACAACCGAACAGCCATTTTTGGCTGACCGAATAAGCTATATAGGCTATTGCCTAATATACATATTATAGATTAGGAGGAATCCCTATAATTATGGAATATAGTTTCTATAGTTTATGGATAAACCCCTGTTTTATTTTATTTCAGCCTTAATTGCTCTTCTCAGTGTGCAACCTTCATCGTTGCAAGTGTTTCTGATCGAACAACCTTGATTGCTATATTTCCTTTGATTGAATGACCACCTTTTATTCTCTTTTGCAATTCCTTTTCCTTCATCATGACAAAACCCACAAATAATGACACCATTATTGTTAAATCCTCCGATGAGTCCAATTTTGTCCAAAAAATTGGAGATCTACAAAATATTCGGGCACCTTATAGACTCAAATGACAAAAACTATCTCAAGTGGTCTCAATTTGTCCTAACATACCTGAAGGGCAAAGGGAGGCTCAAACACCTCATTGAAGCAGTTCCTGCTGTAGATGATCCAACATTTGGAACTTGGGACGAGGAAGATTCCATGATAATGTCATTGCTATGGGAATCTATGGATCCAATGATCATTGACACATGCATGTTTCTCTCCATTGCAAAAGAGATATTGGAGTTTGTCCGCCGCACTTATTCGAAGCCTTGTGATGCGGCTCAAGTATACCAGATCAAGGTTAAAACCTCAGCCACAAAGCAAGGAAACAAATCTGTCACTGAATATGCAAATATATTGCAAAATCTGTGGCGATAACTTGATCGTTATCGAGTTTTCGATATGGAGTGCCTACAGATGCAACTATCTTAAAAAAGTTCATTGAAAAAGACCCGAGTCTATGATATTTTTGGCTGGTTTTAAATCCTGAATTTGATCAAGTCAAGATTCAAATACTTGGCAAAGAAGACACCAATACTTGAAGAAGTGATCTCTTTGACCAGAATAGATGAAAGCAGGAGGAATGTCATGCTTGAACCACAAGCTATGGATGCAACAAGGACCAATCAACAATAGGAGAGGAGCGATTTGTCCAAGTTCAGGGGTAAAGAAACTCAGGATAATCGAGATAGTCTTTGGTGCACTTACTGCAATAAACCAAGACGCCCAAAAGAATAATGCTGGAAATTAAATGGGAAACCACCCAACAGAGAATGGGGAAACCGTGGTGGACAACAGAGTTGTGAATGGGGAACCCAATGGGGGAAACAAAAGCCTCAATGTAGGCAACAGAGATCTCAAGCACACATTGTTGAGCAATTCAAACCAGAGGAGAATTTAGCAAGAGAAAAGTTCAGCAACGAAGAAATTGAGAGGTTAAAAGAATTTTTTGGGTTCTCTAGAAAAGTCATCAGGAACTTGCTCTCTTTTAACGCTTTCAGGTAAACCGTCTTTTCCTTTTTGTCTGAATGCCTCGAGTAATAACTTTTTTCAACTCATGGATAATAGATTCTGGTGCCACTGATCATATGACACCTTCTTCCAATTTTTTTCATAATTACACTCCATGCCCTAGCAACCGAAAGGTTGCAGTAGCCAATGGCTCATTAGCAACTGTTGCAGGCTTTGGAGATATACATATCACGCCCAACCTTGTCTTAAAAAATGTCTTACATGTACCTAAACTGTCAGGCTGCAACAATTGTGTTTTTCAGGAACAAGACTCGAGGAAGAGGATTGGACTTGCCAAGGAAAGGAATGGCCTTTATCATCTTGAATCTTCCTAGAAAAACAACGTTCTACCTTCATCCTTTCTCAGTTCATTTAATAAAGATACAATCTGCCTGCGTCTAGGTCACCCATCCTTTAGAGTTTTAAATGTTATGTTTCCTTATCTATTTCAAGGATTAGATATTTATGAGTTTCATTGTGTTATTTGCGAATTGGCCAAACATATTCGTGTTTCTTTTCCTATGAGTAATAAAAGGAGCTCTCTTCCATTCCAGTTAATTCATAGTGACATATGGGGACCTTCTAACATACCTGATGTGTCTGGGGCTCGTTGGTTTTAGGGATGGTGATTTGCCCCGACCCGGTGGGGAACCCGGTTCACCCGACCCGAACGGGGACGGGGATTCCCCGCTAAAACGGGTCCCGGGGCCGGGGATCCCCGGTAGACTCAAACCGGCGACGGGGCCGGGGACGGGGAATGTTACTCAAAACGGGGCCGGAGTCGGGACCGGGGATCCCCGGTATAATCAAACTAAAGCATACTTTTTACCGGGTTTTGACCGGGGATTGACCGGGGTTTACCGGGTTTTGACCGGGGATTGCTAGAAKTTGACCRGGGACGAGATGATAATCCCCGTACCCGCCGGGGACCGGGGCCGGGGGACGGTATTACAAACCGGGGCCGGGGCCGGGGATTACAAAACCCGCCCCATCCCCGCCCCGTTGCCATGCCTAGTTGGTTTGTATCTCTAATCGATGATTGCACTTGGGTTACATGGCTCTTCCTTCTTAGACACAAATATGAAGTTAACATTGTTATACCTAACTTCCACTCAATGATTCAAAACCAATTTTGGGTCAAAATAAAGAGTTTTAGGACCTACAATACCAATGACTATTTCAACTAGATTTTATCACCCTACTTTCAATCACAAGGCATTATCCATGATTCTTCATGTGTTAACACACCCCAACAAAATGGGGTAGCTGAAAGGAAAAATGGTCATTTACTTAACACTACCTAAGCATTTTCCAGGGAAATGTTCTTAAATCCTATTGGGGGGAAGCTGTCCTTACTTCTACACACATGATAAACAGGCTTCCTTCACGTACATTGGGAAATAAAACTTCCATGGAACTTCTTAATGACTTCTACCCTCACTTCAGAACACCAAGTGGTCTCACACCCAAGATTCTTGGGTGCACTGCCTTTGTTCACATCCACAACCAACATAGAAGCAAACTCGACCCTTGAGCCATTAAGTGTGTCTTCCTTGGATACTCATCCACTCAAAAAGGGTACCAATGCTACGATCCTTCATCCCACAAATTCTGCATCTCTCTTGATGTCACTTTCACAGAAAACAAACCTTTTTTCTCCAAGTCCTCTCTTCAGGGAGAGAATTCAATGATGGAAGATAGTCCTTCGGAAACTTTTGAACCACTCAAAAAACTTGACCTCCCTACTCGTAGTGTTGATTCCACATCAGAGTCCGTAGAGGAGGAAAAGTCGCATCCGAGTCATCCACCCCTCTAAATGAACCTGAACCTTCCAATGAGCCAGATGAACCTGATTCAAACCTAAGTAGCGTCGATGTCTCCAACAATTGTCCAAATCCTCCTCAAGTGTATACAAGAAGAAAGGTCGTTCCTACGCCAACGCAAGTCCAAAACTACGACTCAGGTCTTGGGAATGAGAACACGGTAAGAGCTGATCCACCTTTACACACACAACATGCTTCCACTGATACCGAAGATGATCTACCCATTGCCAAGAGAAAAGGGACTAGAGAATGCTCTAAACAACCATTGTATCCATTATCTCACTGTGTCTCTCTTGAACGCCTTATCCCAACCTACAAAAGGTTTATTATGAGTCTAAATACCATTTCTAATTTTCTATCCCTACCAATGTTTGAGGTATTATGAAAAACGGAATGGAGGGATGTTATGAAGGAGGGAATGAGTGCATTAGAAATGAATGTAACATAGGGAGATTGTTGATAAACCGAAAGGAAAAAACATTGTTGATTGTAAGTGGATCTTTACAACAAAATACAATGCTGATGGATCCCTTGAGAGATATAAGGCAATTTTAGTGGCCAAAGGATACATACAAACTTATGGGGTCGACTACCTAGAAACATTTGCTCCTGTTGCAAAGATGAACACTGTAAGTATTCTATTTTCATTAGCTGCTAACCTAGGCTGGAAACTTTTGCAGTATGATGTACAAAATGCTTTCTTCATGGAGATTTAAATGAAGAAATATACATGAGTATTCCCCCAGGTTTCAATGCTGACATGGGTAATAAGGTGTGCAAGCTAAGAAAAGCACTCTACGGATTGAAATAATCTCCTAGGGCATGGTTTGGGAGATTTGCAGAAGTCATGAAGGAGTCTGGGTTTGAACAAAGTCAAGGGGATTCTCTTCATTAAGCACTCATCCACAGGGGATTAACTGCTCTCCTTATCTATGTGGATGACATCATAGTTACATGAAATGATGAGAGGGAAAAGATGGAATTAAAGGAAAGGTTGATGAAAGAATTTGAGATAAAAGAGTTAGGAAGACTTGAATACTTCCTAGGAATTGAGGTAGCATACTCCAAGCAAGGGATCTTCATATCTCAACAGAAGTATGTGACTGATTTATTGATAGGAACATGAAAGAGTGGGTGTAAGCCGTCATCTACACCAATTGACCGGAACCATAAGTTGGGATGTCAATGTGTTCGTCTGTTGCAAAGTCTCCTATGATACCTAATATGGAGCTCTATCTTGAAAATGGTGAGTAGATTCAAGTTTCCTCTTAGGGCATGCCCTATATTTGCAAGGTTACTCAAAAGGCTTAGGCTACTAGTCACATCACAGTGGCAAAATGTTCCTACAACATGAGATTGGAGAATGGAGGCATAAGTAGAAGGTTTTCATCTCTTGAGACTCTGTTGGAGTATGACACTCTGTCAAGGTAAAATAGGAGTTAGGAATTCCTAATGCAGTTTGATGGGAATGCATATTTTGATAAGTAGGCTGCTAAAAGAATTAGATATTTTCATTAATTGAGGTGGACTGCTTCATCAAGTATCATCCAATTTTGGGTCTGCTCGCATCGCTAGGTTGACAATGTCTTGTTTTGAGCTCCTCGGTAAGCATCTGATTAATCATACGCAATGCCTGGTGGCATGTGTATGTTTTTGTTTCAAAAGAAGAGCATAGTTCCTTGGATATAAAGATGTATATATTTTTAGCATTTCTTTGTTGGCCTGTTATTTACTATAATTCTGTGTCTCGATAATAGAGCATCTCTTTAGTTTATTTTGATTTAAAACATTTGACCTCTGTGTTTTCAATGTGATATCCTGTATGGTCCCTAGTCTGGAATGCCTTGGAGTTAACTCCCGTCATTATGTGGACACATGTGGCTATTGATTGGTTTGCAATAACCATAAACAGAATAGCTGGTTTGCAACAATAGAGCACAAACAGAATAAATGTCACTAAACCCCAAATGCCTTTGGTCTTGTTTTGGTTAGCCAAAATAAGCCTGTATGTGTTTGCTTTGTCTATCAACTTTAGGAAAATTATTCTTAGTATTTGTGTGCACTACTATTATTGATTTTTTGTCTATAAGGATGCATCATAATTCTATTTTCTGGTACTGTTTAATTGTCTACATGTTTCGGTTTATACATTTTTTTAGATCATCATGACACGAACTCAAAGTTCGGTTATTTATTAGCACTTTTTGTGATCTCAAACTAACTGGTGATGGTCATTTCAAGTTTGATGCAATAGCTGTAAATTATATGATTCACTAAATAACGAGGACTAGTGAAAATTGTTTGGAACTGTAATCTAATCCAAAACTGACTGAATGAAACTGAAAGTGAATAAAACTGATGCAGTTCAACTAAAAGGAACTTGAAACTGGACATTTCTCCGTGGTTTAACTTTTGGAGTTGTTTGATTTGAAGAGATCAGACACTGGTCTCTCAGTTTTGTCCCCCAAAAGCCACATCATATCACATTCATGCATATGCCAGTTTGTGCCTGCACTTTGTACATATGTTATTAAGTAATCCTAGTATCAGGGATGCACACCCATGAATGGAAGGTGCCTACATGCTGTCTTGCTTGTTATTCTGTTTGGGTGCAGTGAGACCTGTGCGACATGTCCAAGGATTTTTTTAATATGGGATAATTCTGGGACTTCATGAATTCTTATTATAAGCTGAGTTAGGATTTCGATGTGATTGGGTTCCTTTTATATGCTTTTGTTTATTTTACAGTTGCCTGTATATGGACCACCGTACATGTACATATGCATACCTAAATTATGTTGATTGTGCAGTGGCTGGAAACAGAGGTTTTGCGTCTTAGTCATCTTCGTGATCGAGCAAGTGACTTAGGCCGTAAGAAGGAATATCCTTTGTTTATTTGAAGTATACTATGAATTATGGTCGGTCATCCTAGGTTTTTGAGTTCCGCACTTCCGAGCGGGATATACCGAGTACATTTGGTTTTTAATTTCTCTTACTAGGCTTTTGAGTTTATCACCATCTCCAGTTAATGACTTTTAGAAACCATTTTGCCTTTCATTTATGCCAATAGTCGAGAGTACACCATGAATATGGTTTTCAATTTTTTGGTCATGGTTATATTTGTGGACCTGAGTATTGATGATCCTTGACTTCCTCTACGCTCAGAGAATGTGTAGAGAAATTACAACTTCTGAAGACACCTGAGGAGCGTGCTCGTAAGCTAGAAGAATTTCCTATAATACATGTTGATCCTACCATGGATCCAAATTGTGGGTCTGAAGATGACACAGACGAAGAAGAGAAGAAACAAGGTATGTGGTGGTCTGTTGAAAGTTCTATGTACTTGTTAATTCTATTGTTTTTAAATGTCAAAATTACGCAAAAAGATTTTACATGGTACGAAATCAAGTATCTCGAGTATGGAGAGTCAAAACATTTTAGATACCCTGTATGCTTTATGGGTTTTGTCACTTTCTGGACCACGGGGTTAAATGGTTGAATTGCCAGGTCACCATTTTAAACGAGTTTAATGTTGGGTTATTGCGATTGGCTGGGGTAAAACCAGCTGGGTCGGACTGGGTTTTTATAAATTGGTTAATTCTCTTTATTTATAATCTCTCATGGGATGGGAACTCCTTTTTTTTGACAATTGCTCTTGCTGTATGTAGATATGTACAAGAGTTCTGTCGGTTCCAGATTTAGCAGGAGAAGAGAGTACCCCTCGAAAGAATCTTGGAGCGGTACAGGTACCTCTAGAAGTAGCGGCAAGAATTATGAGTTTAGCAGAAGCTTGTCGAATAATAATTTTTCAAACAAAACTGAGGATGCCGCCACTTCTGCACGTTTCGAACCACATAATGAAAGTTTACGGGATCAAGGAAGAGACACAAGTGTGCAACAACCAAGCATATTAAAGAAACCGAGTTCTGCATATGATGAAGTAGCTTCAACAAAAGATATCACCGGAACTGCCTCAAAAGTAAATGAAACAGAGAAAATGTGGCATTACAAGGATCCATCTGGTAAAATTCAAGGTCCGTTTTCAATGGCACAGTTGCGTAAATGGAGCAATAATAAATACTTCCCCGCTGACCTAAGAATTTGGATGAAGAGTGAGAAGGAGGACGATGGTATCCTCTTAACAGATGCATTAGAGGGACGATTTACGCTTGCTGATCATAGCCCACGACTTCAAAGTTCTCACGTTAATTGGGCTACTACTTCAGTGGAGATCCCGAAGCCTTCACCTGATGAGCGACCTGGTTTTGCCAACCTTCCTTCTCCTACTCCAAACCAAAGTATTACTGGTTTGGGCCCTCAAGTGGGTCCGCACATTGGTCCTAGTTCGTACCATAGTGGCAAAGAAGAATTGCAGTCGCCTACTCCGAATAGTTCCCAGCTGGCTACATCTTTTGTTGCTGGTGGAAACAAGGAGCTTAATGCAATGGGATCATTTGGTAATTCCAGTACTTTTGTGGTTGCAGCTGCACCACAGACCGAGCAGCTACATTCTCTACAATCCTCTCAATCAGGCCATGTGGTTGCACCTCCTGCCAATAATATGCCTTCGCAGATGGTTCAACCGGCTGCTGGTCAAAATCTTCCTGTTGGACCTTATGGTTGGAGTGGCGGTCCACCACAACCGAGCCTTTCAAGTAATCTGGCTGTACAGCAGCAGCTAGCGTACAACCAATGGGGTAATGCTCCGAACATGGTTCAGAATTCCGCCGGAAACTTTTTGCCTCAAGCTCCAGCTCCGGTCAATCTGCAGCAAGCTCCTCCGCCACCACCACCACCGCAATCAAATGTAAGTTGGCCGACATTGCCTGCAAATCCAAATATGGGAGTGGTAGGGCCTACTCCAGGAAATCAAGTCATGAATTGGGGACCTACTGCTCAGAATCCACCATTAACAGGGAATGTCAATCCCCCATGGGCTGGTAATATGCACCCAGGTTGGGTTCCTCCACCACCGGCACAAGGGGTCGCACCGAATCAAGGGTGGGTTCCTGGTCCTGGTCCTGGTCCAACTCAAGTGCCAATAGTTTCTGGAAATGGAAACCCCAACTGGGTCGGACCGCCTGGAAATCAAGGAGCTCCTCTGAACCCTGGTGAGGTAGCTGTGAACCAGAGACCATCTAATCCCAACACCGGTTGGACTGGTGGACCTGGAAATCAAGGGAACTCGAACCAAGGATGGGGTTCAGCATCGCCTAGGAATCGAGCCATGTGGGATGACAGAAGTGGACAAAAGAGGAATAGAGGCGGTGGGGGTTATGGTGGTAATAGAAGGCAATGGGACAAGGGAGGGTCGTTTAACAACAGAGGACGGTCAAGAGATTCAGCATGACCGTGCATTGGATTGCAATGAAGTTGAAGGCCAGTTTTCTTGAATATTTTGTACAGCATTTTATTTATAGGTAGACCTCTCTTTTCTTGGCCATAGTTATTACTACTATAAAACTGTGCAGTGTAGGGACTTGCTTTTACTCTTGTTCAGCAGAATCTTGTTGATGCCATTTTCAGGTTTTCGTTTTTAGTTACGAAAATGCAAAACAATAAAAACACACACTGAAGTTTGCAGTTCTTTTTCGTTCTTTGACCATGGCCAAAACAACCGTCGTGATTTTTTGGGTAAAAAAACGTACAGAAATTGCAAACTTCGGTGGTCCGGTCCATCTACAGCAACTTGCCTCGATCGCTATTCTAGAGGGTAACACAAGTTGGAGATCAACAACGGTGAGCTTTTTCATGAAAAACTTGATTTGTATCCCCATGAGCCATTTTTCATGAATGTGGTTAAGGGGTCGTTTACCAACTGAAGCGAGAATTTTTACCCAATTAGTGTTTACAAGTAAAAAACGGTTACTGAAAATTCATTTTGATAGCCAAAAATGTTATTTATAAATGATGACGATGATTTTTACCGATAAATGTTTGATGAACAATTCCTAAATTTTGCAAAATTAAGGATGGTCTTGATGTTCCAAAATTGCACATTGGTCCTTGTAAGATGTTAAAATACATGTTTAGTCCCTAGAAGAGATGAAATTACATATCTATTAAAAGTATACATTATTAGTTTTTGCAAATTTTCTTTGAAAGATTTGAAACCACCTTCCTTGATTAGCCATTGGAAATATTGTTTTTTTTTTTAAACGTTACTTCCTCGGTCATAAAATAAATATTCATAATAAAAAAAGGCATGCAGTTTTAATTATGTGTAATTATTATACTTTTTAATTAACAAAATGACATTTATATCCTTAATTAGAGAGAGAGAGAGAGAGATTTTATCCACCTTAAAATTGGAAAAGCGGACGCTTGTTTTTGAAAGTTGACATTTGTTTTGGGACAAACTAAAATAGTAACGTAGACACTTATTTTGAGATAATGAAGGAAGTATTTTTTTTATTCGTTATTTTTAACTAATATTCTATGCTATCACAGAAACGAAATGGAATTGAATGATCCATTTATCAAATAACACAATTCTTCATTCTTGTATGTAGATACGTGTGTAGGGCAAATCAAATAATAACCATACAAAAATTAGAAATTGTGAAAAAAAAAACCTGTTTGTATGTCTTGTTTTATAGATCAAACGCCAATGAATGTTTTGGGTTTGCAACAAATAGCTTAATATATGAAACATGCACTCATACTGATGTACAAGAAGAAAAAACATGATGTAAAATAATATAAATTAGAGTTTAAAAATCAAATTCATTGGATGGTTTTGTCCGATTTAATGTGTTTGGTTTTCACTGTTTTTGACTTTTAGAGGGGTTTTGTAGTATGTGTATATATACGGTTGAGTTCCGATGAAAATAAGAGTTATGATGAGAAGGTGAGAACAAATCCTTTATATACACTCATCAACCTGCACCTACCTTTATTTACCTTTTTTTATCATCATGAACGACATTTTAACAAATTAATGCATGTGCAAGTGAATAAATGTATCTAAAAGTCGTAAAAATGACTAAATGTAATTATAAAGGTAGTTGAAGGAAAAAAAGTTGTATTAAAAAGTCAACTCATCCCACGTCTATATATATATATGTGTGTGTGCGCGCGCGTTTGTGTGCGTGTGTGTGTGTTGTCGTCGTCGTCTATCAACTAGTGTAGGTTTTGTTTTCACACAAACTTATCGTAGACTTAACTGAACTAACTGAAAAAAAAAAGTGAAAAAGATTATATTTCCTTCAGTTCTTTATTCAGTATAATGAATTTAAAAAAAATCTTGAAATATAAAAAAGTAAATGCTAAATAATACTTAACATACGAGATTTTACAATCCATTTTAAAACTATCTTTGCTCAAAAAGTCTCTATAAAGAACAGATCACAGGTGTGGTTTCAACTACGTCTTCTTCGGCGCAGATGTCACCAAAAGGAAACACGCCCACTGTTCATTTATGATCCCGACCACATCTTTTTAGCATTGGTTCATTTCATTTTATGTTTTATATTCAACGTTTCAGATACAGAACAGACTTGCGTGCATTATCTGCATAATTATTTAATATCTGCTTCCATAATAATATTAGACAAACACAATACATTTTACCTTTTTGGTGCAAGTTAGTGTTGGTTGGTATTACCCACTCTCACATGGCATGCTTCATATCTACATTACCTTATGAAGCCAAGACAATGGTTGGTAATACAATTGAGGGCAAATGGGCCATTCCATTTGGTGTGTTTGGACCCTCTTAATCATTCATTTAATTCATGATATTAAACAAAGCAATCATGACATGTGATGATGAGTCACCATTTTGGATCATGGTCACGATTTTTAGAGGTTATTTATCAAACGTTACTACATGAACATTTATTAAATAAATGTTTACTGACAAGGGTAATCAGCTCCACTTACTTTATTGGGTAACGTTCTTGACCATCAAAATGAATTATTGATAAACGTCTTTTACCCAGTACACGCTTACCCGTTAAGAGTCTTTTCCCTCACTTACCGGTAAAATTCTCAGTCTTTGTCATGCTTCTTACCATGTAAGATTTGGTCGTTGTCATGCTCACTCGATAAGGTAAGTAACAACTGTAAGCGTTTGATAACTGGCTCATTAGTTTTACAGAGATTTAGTAGACCGGAATCAAAGAAAGTATTATGCATCTTGTTTCATGAGGTGGTAAATGATTATTCGATTGTTACCAAAGTCTAACTTGTATGATGGATTTTGAGAAGTGATTGTTTGGAAGTTTTCTAATGTCGGCTATTTGACATAAAGTGATAAATACCACCATGTGCATGAGAGGAGAACTTTGCCTTAAATACCACCATGTGCATTAAATGCATGAGGACACATGTCACTTGAGGATAAGAGGTTCAATGTTGACTTCGAAACTTTGGAGAATTCTTTTCATCGTACAACTATATTTGTCGTTGGAACAATTATCTGTCATTTCATAACACATCAAGAGCATACTAGGACAAATATTCCTTTTCAGGTGCTTCAGAGATTATATTTGTCAAGTAAAATGCTGGTGAGATTTGATCAGAAAAGTCTCTGCAGGCATATCTTTAGTTTGACCGGCCGACAGTGATCAGGATCGGCTGGTGGGTAAGAAGGCTTGGTGCGTAAGTCAGATACTAGATCTTGATCCGCATCAGTCGATCCACTTATTGAGAAAATCGGCTAGTCTTCGATTTGTCGTCTGATTAAATATATACAAAATCTTTTACATGTAAAAGAACCAAAAGCTATCAAAATACAAATGAAAAGCATTATAGAACTAATCAGAGAGTTATCAACAAATCTATCGATGATCCAACAATATGTTTAACATACATATACACATCGACACACATACCCAGACAAGAACAGAATATGTGAAACAATATGAATTATAACTTAAAATCAAACTCATTGTATGGTTTGCACAGTTTGTAACAAATATTGGGTTTTTTATCTGATATTGACATATAAAACTTACAAAAACTACAAAATCGAAATTGATATTTTTAAAAGTCAAATGTTGAAACAAAATAAAATAATAGCCATGGTACACCATGCCACATGAAGGTGACACCTCACCTTAAACAACTGTTATGGAGTTTAACAGAAAATAAGAAAAATATCTTATTACCCTATTGTTCTCTTTAAAATACTGATTGTTGATCATACGTTAGAAGAACCATCATAAATCAGTTGACTTAACATGGAAGCAACTTCATGACTCATGAGTATGATCTTAGTATGATGAACGATCTATAAATTAAAAGTCTCTGGTGTTATTCAAAAAACCATGTTTATTTTATCTTTTAAAGTTAAAAATACGTAAAGTACGATCATAATTCATAGTAGGGATTAAATATGCTTTTCTACCGGATCAACTTCATTTGTTTGTCCAACCATGCAATACATTAGAGCCTTAACGCACCAATACACCAAGCCTATGTTTGGAAAACTAGCTGATAAATTAGTTGTTGGTTGAAAAGTCAGTTGTTGACTGATAAGCCAACGCTTAACTGGAAAACTAATTGATAAATCAGTCATGTTTGACAAAAACTAGTTAATAAGATACTTAACAAAAACAAGATGATCAAAAATAAGGTATTAAGAAATTTTCAATTCTAATGACAATAGAAGTAGTAAGAAAACAAAGTTTTTCAATTTATGTAGCTTTAATGTATTTTTTTTATTAATCTGGATATCCAACTCGTTATGTGAGTCGACTAATCCCAGGGCGACCACCTGCTTTGCACCCAGAGTCACCGCATTTGAACCTCCGTGGTCACAAGAGGATTTTTATTTCTCCTTGGATTTGAACTTGAGACCTCTTTGTATTTTTGACCTTTGGAGCCAAGCTCAAACCAATCAGGCACCACCCTTATGGTTTTAATGTATATTATTTGCATTCCTTATTTATAGATATGGAATTGTATCTATAAAGCTATTTTATACTCCTCGTCTCAAAATAAGTGTTTACCTTCAAAATTAAATATCTACTTTCTCATAATACCCTTAAGTATGAGATAAAAAAAATTTCTCTCTCTATAATTAAGGGTAAAATTGTCTTTTGTTAATTAAAAAGTGTAATAGTTACACATTTCTAAAAAAATATACATTTTTCATTGTAAACGTTTATTTTAGGATGAAAGTAGTAAAAATCAGAGCATCCATAATGATTTTTTTTAAAATTTTGTACTTTTTATAGATATATTTTTCTTAAACAAACAAAGATATATAATAATTAATAAATAATTTTCTTAAATTCTAAAATATAATGTGTTAAAAAAAATACATGACATAATTAATTTTTTAAAAGAAATATGTTTATTTATATTTTAGTAAGATTTCATGATTTAAAAATATTAATAAAATTTAATGATAATTAAATTTTCTACTATAGTAATTAAATAGATATTAAAACTTTCATGCTCTAATTGATAGCATGTAATAATTATAGTTATTATAATAACAATTTTAATAAAAAGTCCATGAAAGAAACTTGGTTTTTGAAAAAAAAAAATTAAGATTATGGTCATTTAGATAAAATACTAATCGAAAAA